TTATTTCTAAAGTCCGGTAGTGGAATTGGTCATTTGACTTGGGGTTTTCATAGTATCTTATATGAGGACAGTCATACTTTGGTGATATTGGATGTTGATTTGTCAAGGGTCGGTAATACAACATCGTTCGAGTATGTCAAGAATCATATGAAAGCTATGAATGATCAATAGATGATTAGTTACTCTTAGATAGTAAGAGATTGCGATCTACATTTTATTCAGTTAAGTTGATAATGAAATCCTTAACCAAAGTGAAATCATAAGTCGAAAAGGAGTTTTCGATTTACATTGACTTGACGGTGGGATAAAAGATATGATCGATAATTGAGATTGACACATATCCATATCTCGTAATCGATTGGATCATATTGACGAAAGGATTATAGTTTCACGGTAAATGAACGAGTTTGGTTTTATCACGAGACGTAACATTTCCCTTCACATGTATTGATCAACACGTTACTAGATGTTAATTTGGGACGACGTATGTGAATTGATGATAAATTAAAAGAAGGTATTTTGATTTGTCAATTTTGATTAGATTAAAATAATATTTCACATCGTTAGGTATCGTGATCGGGAATCTAATGGGTCACACACAAAAGAAAACTAGAAGAATGAAATTAACCAATTAATTAATTGACAAGTATTAGATAATTAATTAATTGAATTGCTTATTAATAGACCCGAATTAATTAATTGGATTAATTAATTCATGGACCAGATTTAATTAATTTGATTAATTAAATGTTGGACCGGGTTAAGTTTAACAGATGGGCCAGCCGCTTGGACTTATATTAATAGGCTTCTAGGGTTTGAAAATTGTACAAAAAAAAAAATTATTATTCTTGCTGACATAAGAAAAGAAAACTGTAGCCGTCATTCTTGTTCTCTATGTGGATCACCATTGGAGGCTAGACAATTGGACGGTTTGAATTGCAAATCATAATTATTTGAGTTCAAGAAAAAACAAAGGAGCTTATGGAATTCATCAAATGTATAATTTTTATCACAATTTCTATCTAAGCACAATACAGATCCTTGATGGGAATTGAAAATTTTTTTATTTTCACTGTGCATGATTAAGTAAATTCCCGACAGTTACGACGTGACGTGTATGTTTTATCATGTTTTGCATCAGCATTGTCATTAAATTTTGGTTTATCTATAGTTCTTAAATTTCCATTATGAAGATTTTCAATTAAGGTTTTGTCGTTATTATTTCGGTTGATGCAGAGCAATTCAGAGATCAAATTGTTACCATAATGAAGGGCATGAAGCTGCTTGTAAATATAGAATTACTTATTACATGCTCATATTTGGAGTTATCCAAGCCCTCGTATCCCAAATACCTGATTTTCGGAATACTCAGTGGCTATCTGTCATTGCGTCAATCATGTCCTTTACATATGCTACTATTGGATCAGCACTTGGCTTGGCAAAAGTAATAGGTAGGTCGGGAATATGAATAATAAGACTTGAACTTGTTACAATGTTCAAAATTCTCAGTGTTTTTTTACCACTTGACCTTATTTTATAGAAAATGGAGAGATAAAAGGTAGCATTGGAGGAGTGCCTACTTCGAATCCTACTAAAAAAGTATGGGCAGTTTCTCAAGCGCTTGGGGACATAGCCTTTGCTTTCCCATTCTCCGTTATTTTCCTAGAGATACAGGTCTAGAATTTTACTTTTGTAACAAGAACAATTAGTGTATGTTTAGTACGCACTATTAGATCGTACTAGAGACTACAACAAACAAAACTGTAGTTCTTGTTCTTTCTTAAAACAATCTAGTGCTATCTAATTCAACTTACTAAAGCAAAGTTAAGCAATAACATAGATTTAATAAACGTTTGAACTTTAGAATATGTGCAGGATACTTTGAGGTCTAATCCACCAGAAAAAGTCACCATGAAGAAGGCATCAATAATGGCAGTCTGCACCACAACTTTCTTCAACCTATGTTGTGGAGGGCTTGGGTATGCAGCTTTTGGGAATTCAACCCCCGGGAACCTTTTGACAGGATTTGGTTTTTACGAGCCTTACTGGCTCATTGATTTTGCTAATGCCTGTGTCTTTCTTCATCTTGTTGGAGGATATCAGGTATTCATCTTTTCTCCTAGAACACGAGTGTGTTTTGTTAAGCTCAAAAGGTTTACTTAACATGTAAATAAATAATTTTTTTATCGGTCGAAGTTGGAAACGAGTATATTACTTATTTTGAAAATAAGGGAAAGTTACTATCAAAATGAGTTTCTTAATTTATCTCGTATTGGGTGATGCTTTAACCTTTCTTTGGAATATGCATTGTTAGGTATTCAGTCAACCACTTTTTGCAATTACTGAAAGATGGATTATCAAAAAGTTTCCCAACTGTCGAACATTGCATGAAGATTACAATCCAAAATTAATACCAGGTTTGAGACTAAATCTTCTGAGGCTGTGTTTCCGAACTGCTTATGTTGCATTCACCACAGGTTTCGCCATACTTTTCCCGTACTTCAACCAAGTCGTTGGGGTGGCCGGAGCAATAAACT